GGCCCCACAAGCTGTTTCTATTTCGCACGTTTTGGGCAGGCCTTAAAACCCTCAAAACCTCCGCAGCAGCTTTCGAAGGCTTCAGAACCTCACAACCTTCCGCAGCAGCTTTCGGTCATGGTACCTCCCTAGGCCCCACAAGCTGTTTCTATTTGGCTTCGAAACTGCTACGTGGCACGTTTTGGGCAGGCCTTAAAACCCTCACAACCTCCGCAGCAGCTTTCGAAGGCCTCAGAACCTCAACCCTCCGCAGCAGCTTTCGGCCATGGTGCCTCCCTAGGCCCCACAAGCTGTTTCTATTGGGCTTCGAAAGTGGCACGTTTTCGGCAGGCCTTAAAACCTTCAAAGCCTCCGCAGCAGCTTTCGAAGGCCTGAGAACCTCACAACCCTCCGCAGCAGCTTTCGGCCATGGTACCTCCCTAGGCCCCACAAGCTGTTTCTATTGGGCTTCGAAAGTGGCACGTTTTCGGCAGGCCTTAAAACCCTCAAAACCTCCGCAGTCCGCAGCAGCTTTCGAAGGCCTCAGAACCTCACAACCCTCCGCAGCAGCTTTCACAGGCCCCACTTGCTTTGCCATGGTACATCCCTAGGCCCCACAAGCTGTTTCTATTGGGCTTCGAAACTGCCATGTGGCACGTTTTCGGCAGGCCTTAAAACCTTCAAAACCTCCGCAGCAGCCCGAAGGCCTCAGAACCTCACAACCCTCCGCAGCAGCTTTCGGCCATGGTACCTCCCTAGGCCCCACAAGCTGTTTCTATTGGGCTTCGAAACTGCTACGTGGCACGTTTTGGGCAGGCCTGAAAACCCTCAAAACCTCCGCAGCAGCTTTCGAAGGCCTCAGAACCTCACAACCCTCCGCAGCAGCTTTCGGTCATGGTACTAGGCACCACAACCTCTTTCTATTGGCTTCGAAACTGCTACGTGGCACGTTTTGGGCAGGCCTTAAAAACCTTGGAAACCTCCGCAGCAGCTTTCCAAGGCCTCAGCACCTCACAACCCTCCGCAGCAGCTTTCGCAGGCGTCCCACTTGCTTGGGCCATGGTACCTCCCTAGGCCCCACAAGCTGTTTCTATTGGGCTTCGAAAGGCACGTTTTGGGCAGGCCTTAAAACCCTCAAAACCTCCGCAGCAGCTTTCCAAGGCCCTTAAAACCTTCAAAACCTCCGCAGCAGCTTTCGAAGGCTGCAGAACCTCACAACCCTACAATGAACAGACACGGAAATCCCTGATATCAATACATTCGATTCATTGTCCCACAATCTATGTTTACACTACCTAGTCCTTCAAAAGTTCCATAATATTTGTACGTTTGGACTACTGCACGTGTGGGCCGTTTTGACCGTTCCCCGCCGCTCCGCCCTTGAAAGGGGGTCGGCGGCACCTGGGCGTTAGCCCATTTATTACACTGCACTACACTACATTACACTAAACTACACTACATTCCACTACACTCCGCTACACTATACTACATTACACAACACTACATTACACTGAATGACACTGCACCACAGATAGACAGGTAGACGGATAGACAGACAGACAGACAGACAGACAGACAGATAGATAGATAGATAGACAGGTAGACAGATAGACAGATAGACAGATGAAAGAGAGGGAGGGAGGGAGAGAGAGAGAGAGAGATAGAAAGATAGACAGATAGACAGACAGGCAGACAGATAGACAGACAGACAGACAGACAGATAGATAGATAGATAGGTAAGTAGATGAAAGAGAGAGAGAGAGAGATAGATAGATAGATAGATAGATAGAATGATAGATAGACAGACAGACAGACAGATAGATAGATAGATAGATAGGTAAGTAGATGAAAGAGAGAGAGAGAGATAGATAGATAGATAGATAGATCGATAGATACATAGAAGATAGATAGGTAGGTAGGTAGGTAGATAGTCAGAGAAAGAGAGAGAAAGAGAGGAGACCTCAAGCACCTTTCGGTCCGTCAGTGGATTCGCTCTGCCATCCCGGATTCACAACAAGCAATCTCTCCTATAGGTTTCCTATTTTTGAAACTTCCGCCACCGCCTTGTGCGGTACTACTGGTATCCCATATCCGCCGACCCCGGCCTTCGCCAAGGCAGAGGCGGCGCCTGGGACCACCGCAGGTGTGGAACTTGTCTTTCTTAGCAACAGGCATCCCAAGGCCACATCAATGGCTTCTTCTGGGCGTCCAAGCCTGCCGTTTGCCACGCCTTAAACGCTTCAAAGGCTTCAAATCGTTACAAGCCAGGCCTTAAACGCTTCACAGGCTTCAAACCGTTACGTGCATCAATGGCTTCTCATGGGCTTCCAGCGCAGGCAAAAGCTACCCCAAGGCCAGATCCATTGCTTTTTCATCCCAAGGCCACATCAATGGCTTCTTCTGGGCGCCCAAGCCTGCCGTTTGCCACGCCTTAAACGCTTCAAAGGCTTCAAATCGTTACAAGCCAGGCCTTAAACGCTTCAAAGGCTTCAAACCGTTACGTGCATCAATGGCTTCTTAT